GAAGGCTGTACATCTAGGTCCTTCGTCAAGGTGGTCCAGTGACTTCCTTCGCGAAGGTGACATTGTCCTTGGTTGCTACGTTGATCGGGTGCCTCTGGGGTGCTATCTCACGTTGGAGCCTTTGCGAAGGCTCGGTCCCTGCTTCTGCAGTCTGTAGCGATCCTCCATCATGGTCATAATTTGTTCCGCATCAGGTCCTCAGGGATGGACTGCGGCGAATTAGGTCGCCGCCTTATCTGCGGTGTTAATGGAGGGGTCCACAGGAATATCAATCCGACATCAGTGTAGAGGCATCAGGCTGCATGGTGATCTCTGCTGATGTCATTGTAAGCTATCACCGGTCAGCTTCTTGTGGCGTGATGTCGGGATGATGATCGGCTGATCATCGTAGAGCGTCCAGGTCTGGGCGGCTGGAACAATCTCGGTTGAGAAAGTCCTAGTAGACTTCGTTGATTTCCCCCTCAGATGTCAACGCTGCCCTCGGTGTCGCGGCGTCCTGCGTTGAGTGTTGGTAGCGATGGGGACCCTCAGGAAGTTCATCGAATATCAGCGTTGGTACATCAGGCTGCATGCTGATCTCGCGCTGACATCACTGTAGCCGACATCGGTCATTCTTTTGATGTACATCAGGTATGATGATCGGCTGATCATCATACAGGCCAAATCCGTCTGTAGAGATGTAGTAGAAAACCTCTAGTCTACGGCTGCGGCGATGGGATGTCTGGGGAAGCAGGGCGCTTCTTGAGATGGCGGACTACGTCCCGCCTCTCCACCACTCTAGCGAACACCACACGGGAGGGGGTCGGCCAACAGCAGTAGACTGGCGAGGGGTTCAGGTGTATCAGTCATACTAGACTCTGCATACAGCGACCTATCTGCTTTCGCGGCGTCTCAAGCGCCAAAGTAAATATTATTAAAAGGTAGAATTGGATAAATTAGTACCGCGAACTGCAATGTGAATAAAATGAACATGGCGCAGTACAACTAAGGCATATTAAAAGCGGATCAGCAGCAGAATAAAACCGTAATCTGCAATGAGTACAAAATTTTCATCAACGTAATCCACTGAAACAAACACGGCCCCGTGAATAAACTGTAGAAAAGCGACTAAATATCAATATATAATGCGTTGAAGGATACTAGCTAAACCTCTATAGATGTCTATAATGGAGGTAACTAACTAAATATAAATCAAAGGATATGGTGTCGGAGACACACAAGCTCCATCCCAGCTCACTGGGCGAAGAAGGAGAGTAGAGGCACATGGGTGAAGGTGAAGCCTCGTTTCCAGGCTTGTGGAAAGGGGTAACTCTCGTGGTGAGTACTAACTGGTGATTTTACATTGAAGGGAGCTTCAATTAGGGGAGATACAAGTGTTTCCACTAAGGTTGCTAAGAAGAAGAAGACAAGCAAAAGAGCATGAGTCAGGATAAGAGGAAAAATTAAGTGTTTTCTTAAACTTTATTCATGACAACATTAGTCTTAAGGGTCCTTGAATGCAACATGAGGGTCCTGTGAAGTAACAGGTAGATAAGTGTACATTTTGATCATTTCTTTAAAGCCTGGAATGAATCATTGATCATGTGGACTGATTGATGAAATAATGCACGCCACTGTTCTGAAAGAAACAACCAAACACTTAGCAAAGTCACAGATGTGTTGTGTGTACAGTGAATAATATTGTGCATCCTTCTGGGCCTGAGTGATTTTATTCTCGTCCATTCTGTACACATTTGTGCATACTGGGCGCATTATACAGTAAGTCACATAAAGCCCTTCACTCAGTCAACCAAGTCACTGAGCTTGACCATTCAATCCACATCACGTAGTCACCTCTTATGATTTTAGTTGCTAGGGTGAGTGAGTGAGTGAGTTTAGCTTCGCCCGCTTTTAGCAATATTCCAGCAATACTGCCATGGGGACACACTAGAAATGGGCTTCACAGAATTGTGCCCATGTGGGGAATCGAACCGGGTCTTTAAGCTGGATTGCTAGCGCTTTAACCACTAAGCTACCACACACCCCAGTTGCTAGGGAATGACATTACCTTAGAATAATATGACAACAATTAATATCATACACCTGTATACATACAATTACCTGTTGTTTTCATATCTGATGTGTACTTCAACACATCAGATACTCCTAGTCAAACTGTCTTTAGCTTTAAGCTTCCAAGGCCTCCAGAAAGTTGAAACAAGTGTGGTGTTTTAAGAATGGTGTTTTTCAACATGGGAGCAAACACAAGCCCTAAACAGGATAAAAGGAGGCTGAGGGACAATATTGGACAGCATTGTTTGCCAGTCAGCCACTAAGGAGGTGTGTTAAGAGGATACATTTAGGTGTGAATTCCCAGCTGAGGACCTGCTCTGTGATTGAGAGGATCCTTGAGTTAAGGGCGGCAGTGGCTTCTTCAGGTCAGGGGATGCGGCTGTGCATTAAGCTTCGTTCAACACTTGCATTGAAAACATAAACACCTTCTTCAGGTCCTTCTCCTGCAATAGAAGTAGAGGCGGGCATAAAGGGATGTAGAATACAGGAGGAGGAATGTGGGTGGGATGTAGGAGGATACAGGGGAGGAGGAATGTGGGTGAAGAAATGTACAGGGATGTGTTTGAATGGTGACAGCTGGGTCAGGAAAACACATGGATAAGGAGGAAGTGGGCTAATAAAAGAAGTGGGATGAGGGGAAAGTATAGGTTGAGAGAAGTGGGATGAGGAGGTGGTAGGACAGAGAGACATCGGATGAGAAAAAGAAATGGGTGATGGCAGACATGGAATACGAGGAGAAGGTGGGAGTTGGGGAGAAGGTGGGGGTTAAGGAGGTAGAGAAGCGGTGAGAGAAGGTGGGGGTTGAGGAGAAGATTGTAGCAATAAGAAGGTGGGGTTGAGAAAGGTGGGTGATGGGAGGTGGGTGATGAGAAGGTGGAGTGCTGAAGAGAGGATGGTGAGTGATGAGAAAAAGGTGGGGGTTGAGGGAGAGGATGGGTGATGAAAAAGGTGGGGGTTGAGGAAAGGGATGGGTGATAGAAAAAAAGTGTGGGGTTGAGGAGAGGATGGGATGATGAGAAGGTGGGGTTGAGGAGAAGATGGGTGATGAGAGGGTGGGGGCTGAGAAGATGGGTGATGATAAAGATTGGGGGTTAAAGGTGTAGGTGAGTGATGATGAGAAGGTCAGAGGGGTTAGGGGGTTGAGGGAGGAGAAGGTGTGATGAAGGAAGATTGGGGGTTGAGGGTTGAGGAGAAAGGTGGGTGATAAGAAAGGTGGGGAGTTGAGTTAGAAGATGGAATTGATAAAATGTGGAGTGGGGGTTAGAGGGGTTGAGAAGGTGGGAGTTTAGAAGGTGGGTGATGAGGAAGTTTGGTCGTAAATAGGAAGTGGAATAGAAAGAAGGTATAAGGTTGAGAGAAGTGGGATGAGGAGGTGGGGGATTGTGAGATATGGGAAGAAAGTTGTGATGTGAAGACATGGAATATGAGGAGAAGGTGGGTTTGAGAGAGAAGGTGGGGGGGTTGAGAAAGTGGGGTTTAGAGGAGAGAAGATGGGTGATGAAAAAGGTGGAGGAGTTGGCTTGAAGGTGGGTGGTGATGAGGGAGGAGGTGGGTAATGGAAACAAGTTAGGATGAGGAGGTGGGGGTTGGGGCAGACGGTGTGAGATAGAGAGAAGAAGGTAGGTATTAGAGAGGCATAAGTAGGATAGAGAAGGTGTTATAGCAGAGACATGGGATGAGAGAGGTGTTATGGGGAGACATGGGATGAGAAGGTGTTATGAGAGACATGGGATGAGAAGATTAATTGCCTAGAGGGCATGGGATAGAGAAAGGTGTTATGAGAGACATGGGATGAGAGAAGGGTGTTATGAGAGAGAATGGGGCGAGGAGAAAGGTGGGTGATGAGAGAGCATTAGGATCACGGAGAAAGATGGAGTTATCGAGACATGGGGCCGAGTGAGAAAAGTGGGTTATGAGAGACATGGGATAAAAGAGAAGGTGGGTGATGAGAAGAGTAGGATGAAGGGAGAAGGTGGGTGATGAGAGAAGTGTACAGAGGGTTGATGTGGGATGGTGTAGAAGAGCTCAATTGGTAGAAGTGAGAGTGGAAGTATGGGATGAGTGGGGAGGCCTCGCATTTGGCTGAGAGTGGTGGTGGATTGACTTGGAAGGAAGAGTTGTTGTAAGTGGACTCAATATCAAGATGGAGAGTATATGGATTATATAGTCATGTGTACAGTAAACAGGCTTGTGTATCCAAAATACAAGGCACATGCATAAATGGTCTGTTTCCATATCCGCATGCATCATCACATGATCATAACATGGTCTTTCTAAGTTTAGAGGAATATGAGACAGCGTGCCTCAAAGCTCTCTTACGTGTGTGGGAACTCCTCCATGTGAGGCTACACTGCTGAGTCCGACTGGAGCCTCAGAGGTATTACGTTGAGAGCTGTGAGCATGGGAGCACGCCACCGGTTGCTGGGCAGCAGGAGATGGTGTTTTAATTACAGCCATGACTACTATCGGATTTTGTAGGCTAGTCCTAACTCGAGACAAGACAAAATGTTTATTACTTTCTGTCAGTTTTTATTCAGTTAAAATTTGTAGCATGCTTTCGAAGAATGAGAATCTGTTCAGAAATCACATTGTCCTTGAATGATAATTGTCCCTATGATGAGTAGCTCAGTACTATTTTGGATTTTTTAGTTAAGCAGGTAGGTTGTGACAGGCCAGCTGAAAGCGGCTCAAGCGTTTTATCCTGCCACACAATGTTCATACACATTATCATCATCACTGTCACATTATACAGCTGGTTAGTTTTGATTAAACTCAGCAATATATCAAGAAACTTGTGGCCCATAACATGTAAAATGCATATGACCCCAAATACAATGTGGGTGCCTCTCTACGTCTTCTTATCATGACAAGGCCTTGTGTAAAAAGAATGTCTCTCGGATCAATGGGGTTACCATGGTAACATTTCCACTGCTTATAAGCTGGGTAACCTATCGGCAAAGGGCTGTCACAGCCGGGAGTGCCCTTGGTGTCCCGAGGTGCAGCGTTTGAGGGATGACTGCCACTGTCTGAAGGGGATCTGCTCTCTCACACATAACTCTGGAGGCTGGGAGGAAGCATATACAGCCTTAACACTCAAATAGCAAAGCAATCCAATAGCACTGCATCAATACCATAACATGTGTTCTATCACTTCATTCACGTATAATTATGGTTACAATGTATTTGCATATATTGTCTGGCATTACAGGAATGTTGTTTTAGGCCAAATAAAAAAAATGTTGTGGTTCGATTACACTCTAAAATTTAGGGGAGGTAGGTAGGATTTTTTAAAACATTTTATCTTGAAGTAAAAATACATACTAATAACACATTTATTATAATTGTTTTATTCAATCAAGGTTTGGCTATCGTATTAGAGCTTTCTCTATCAGAATGACCGATGTCAAGTAAAACCGGTGCGGGGAAAAACAATGGTATCTAAAAGCTTATTTCATTTAAAGCCACTTAAAAAATTAAATTGGGCAGCACTGAAATCCGAGGCTCAGGTTGGAGTGTCAGGAACCACAACATTTTTTAAGGCCTTACAGTAACTTCCTCTCCATTCTCTACAGTATATACCTGATATTCTTTGTAATGTGTATCCAAGAAGAAAGGATCGGGTGACTCCACATCCTCTGCAGGACAGCAAGCGTCCATTCTCTGGCTTGATCCCTTCCTTAATGGTAGTGGCTGACTGGAACATGCAGTAGTCATTCTTGCTGGTCTCTGCAGGAGGAGCATGTATGGTTGGAAGTGAACACAAAGCTGCTGTATGCTAGTTTTACTATCTAGTTATTTGTGGGACCCTAAAAGCTGATGTAATCAGCCTATCTATCACAGTTGGCTCATTCACACTCTGGTCCAAATGATATGTTGGAGCTAATCCAGATGTCATCACATCTCTGCTGTCAAATCTGCATGTCTAGTCGAAGATGTCATCATCTATACTGTCAAACCCAGCATGTCTAGTCAGATGTCATCATCTATACTGTCAAATCCTGCATGTCTAGTCAGATGTCATCATCTCTGCTCAAACTGTATCAAAGCATGTCTAGTCAGATGTCATCATCTCTACTGTCAAATCCAGCATGTCTAGTCAGATGTCATCATCTCTACTGTCAAATCCCTGCATGTCTAGTCCAGATGTCATCAGCTCTACTGTCAAATCCTACATGTCTAGTCAGATGTCATCATCTCTACTGTCAAATCCAGCATGTCTAGTCAGATGTCATCAGCTCTACTGTCTAAATCTAGCATGTCTAGTCAAATATCATCATCTCTACTGTCAAACCCTGCATGTCTAGTCAGATGTCATCTTCTATACGGTCAAATCTAGGAGCATGTCTAGTCAGTTGTAATCAGCTGGCACTGTCAAAAGCCCTGCATGTCTAGTCAGATGTCATCTTCTATACTGTCAAATCTAGCATGTCTAGTCAGATGTCATCAAGCATGTCTAGTAGATGGCAATCTCGTCTGACAAATCAAAGCATGTCCTAGTCAGATGTCATCATCCTATACTATCCAAATCCAAGCATGTCTAGTCAGATGCCATCATCTCTACTGTCAAATAAAGCATGTCTAGTCAGATGTTATCATCTGCTACTGGTCAAATCCAGCATGTGTCTGGTCAGATGTCATCAGTCTAACCATTGTCTTTCAGATGTCTTGACCTGCATGTCTAGTCAGATGTCATCATCTCTACTGTCAATAAAGCAAATCTAGCATATTAGCTAGTCAGATGTCATCAGCTATGGAGTCATGTCAGCCAATGTCTAATGTCTAATCAGATGTCATCAAAGCTATGCTGTCAATAGCCTGCAGGTCTGGTCAGATGTCATCTTCTCTACTGTCAAATAAAGTCTAGTCATGTCTAATCAGATGTCATCAGCTATATCTTCTGTAGGCAAACCCTGCATGTCTAGTCAGATGTCATCATCTCTACCATCATCATGTCAAATCCAGCATGTCGGAATCAGTCAGATGTCATCAGCTATACTGTCAAATCATTCACTGTCAGAGCCATGTCTAGTCAGATGTCATCATCTCTACTGTCAAACCCGTGCATGTCTAGTCAGATGTCATCAGCTATACTGTCAAACCAAGCATGTCTAGTCAGATGTCATCATCTATACGGTCAAATCCCTGCATGTCTAGTCCAGATGTCATCATCATCTCATATCGTCAAATCCAGCATGTCTAGTCAGATGTAATCAGCTATACTGTCAAACCCATGCATGTCTAATCAGATGTCATCAGCTATGCTATCCAAACCCTGCATGTCTAGTCAGATGTCAATCTATGTCATCTTCTCTGCACTGATGTCAAATAAAGCATGTCTAGTCAGATGTCATCAGCTATGCTGTCAAAGCCCTGCATGTCTAGTCAGATGTAATCATCTATGCTGTATCAAATCCCTGCATGTCTAGTCAGATGTCATCATCTATACTGTCAAATCCAGCATGTCTAGTCAGATGTCATCATCTATGCACTATCCAAATAAAGCAATGTCTAGTCAGATGTCATCATCTCTGCTGTCAAATCCAGCATGTCTAGTCAGATGTCATCATCTCTCTGTCAAACCCAGCATGTCTAGTCAGATGTCATCATCTATACTGTCAAACCCTGCATGTCTAGTCAGGATGCCATCATCTCTGCTATCAAGAGCCCTCCAGCATGTCTAGTCAGATGTCATCATCTACACTGTCAAATCCAGCATGTCTAGTCAGATGTCATCATCTCTACTGTCAAACCCTGCATGTCTAGTCAGATGTCATCATCTCTCCTGTCAAATCCAGCATGTCTAGTCAGATGTCATCAGCTATACTGTCAAACCCTGCATGTCTAGTCCGGGATGTCATCAGCTATACTGTCAAACCCAGCATGTCTAGTCGAGATGTCATCATCTACATTATCTTGAAATTTTCAAGGTACTAAAATTTCGAGGTTTTGAGACTCCAGAGCTTCGAGGGTGATATAAATTTACCGAGGGTTTGGGGGCCTAAAAATAAATATTTTAGACAATTTTAATTTCAGGTTTAATAGAAGCAGTGGCCAGAAACATATGGCGTACTGGACCAATATCACTGAGCTATCGGCAAAACTCTAGTAGCTCAGTGATAACTGCACTTGCGAATCTGTTATAACTACCCGGTATACCAGTCCATGGCAGAAATAATAGAAATGAAAACAACTCTTTGATCCTTTGTTTGTGATAAATGACCCATAACTGAAACACTCTGTCGGCGAGTCCAAACATGGCGCATTTTTTTCTCAAAGCGATATTGTTCTTTTAACAACTAACTATAAGCATGTATGCATGGGTCTCTGCTGAAACTATGTTGTTGTTAGAAAGCTGACAAGTTGACCTCTTTAAGCTAAACTGACCAACTGCACAGATGCCTTACAGCTCAGGATGTTTGTGTAAAACAAGCCCCTTAAAGGCGTTGCATTCATCAAACCTGGCATAGCCGGATGCAGTCCTTTTGGCCAGAGAGTGACAGAAGTGTCTCTACGACTTGCATTTCTGTTGTTTGTTTATTTCAGGGCCGTTCAGGGTCACTGAGCGTTAGGAATTAGTTAGTAGACAGGCATTACAGAGTTACTGCATGTCAGGAAGTCATTGGTTGCCAGCAGTTGAAATGCTTATCGATAGGAAATCCAACCCAAAGGTTTGAAGTTCGGAAAAATTCATGGATATAATATTTTCGAGGTTGCGTTTCCAACCTCGAAAACCTCGAAAATTAGACACCTCGAAAATCTCTCGGTATACCGTCAAATCCAGCATGTCTAGTCAGATGTCATCATCTCTATTGTCAAACCCTGCATGTCTAGTCAGATGTCATCAGCTATACGGTCAGAATGAGCATGTCTAGTCAGATGTCATCAGCTATACGGTCAACTCCAGCATGTCTAGTCAGATGTCAGATTTTAATTTGCATTTTACCACCATTAGAAATATTTTCAACAATGATGAGAGACCAATGATAATCATTATCATTTGAAAGTGATTTCCTAAGCATTATTGATTGATTGAGTTTAGTTTTACGTCGCAATCAGCAATATTTCAGCTATATGCCGATGGTCTGAATATAATCAAGTCTGGACAGAAAATCCAGTGATCAACAGCATGAGCATCAATCTACAAAATTGGGATACGATGACATGTGTCAACCAAGTCATCGAGCCTGACCACCAGATCCTGTTAGTCACCTCTTACGATAAGCATGGGTTACTGACGATCAATTCTAACCCGGATCTTTATGGGTCTTCCTGAGCATTAACACACACTTACATCATATACACATGATTTATATGATCTAACAGTTTCTCTTTTTACAACATTCAGCCCATTTTAAATGTTAGTGCTCACATGAACATTAATCATTGGATGCACATTATTGATCATGTTGGTGAGTATATCAGTGCGTGATGGTATAGATTCTCATGATCACGTGATATTCCAGTATCAGTCACCTCACCTAAAATGTATCTACAAATGCTGTATGGCAGTTTCCGCTTGCGGAAATCCAAGATGACTCTCTCGGCAGCTTGCCTCTGTTCTGGAGTCACTATGTTAGGCGCAGCCTGTAAACACAGACACAGACAGGTGCACATCCTGTACTTTAATCTAGGGACCACTAAAATCATAACTGTTAAACATAGGAATTATAACAAGGAACTTTCTGGTATGATATTTACCATGAATTCTGAGCAACGATCATAATTGTTAGAATAATGTAAAGCAATAATTCAGACAAGAACAAGGAAATTTTTTTGCCCCAGGGACGAACATTATCAAAGTAGACTCTGTCAAAGTCTACTGTCAAGCTTTATTCCTACTTAAATACTAATTCCTATAGGTTTTCCATTTTGGAAACCAAAAAATCGCATCTTTAAAGTGATGCATGCGGAAAGTTCCTGACTGCTAACAGCAAGTTTGCAAGAAAACTGTCAAACCTAACAGTGGTCTCTTGTGGAAGAGATATGAACTTAGGCATATTACGTATAAAACTGCATCAACATGAAACCAAATTAGCTGCAATGGAACAATAAACTCTGAACATGATTAAATGAGTGAGTCTAGTTTTACGCCGCACTCAGCAATATTCCAGCTATATGGCGGGGAACATGATTAAAACAAACCATAACCATGAAAAAGGCCATAATATAACTGTCCAACTGAATGCTTTCATAGTTGAACAAGGATGAGGATGAATGAAGGTCTAAGTTTACAATGTTTCAAACTCGTAAGAACTGTGTGTAAAAGTATCCAGACTGGTCACCATTGCTGTGTATCTGCAGCACCTGACTGAACTTAAAGAACATGTACCTGCACATTTGATGTCCTCTAAATATCATGCATGTTCATATGCAAGGTGAATTTGAGATGGTGTTTAAGTAGCATACCTATTTAAAGGTCACATGCAACGTAAAACACAACTTTGCAGATTCTGATACCTTTCGGTATGGACTTACCGAAACAAAGCGTCAAAAATGCAAATTCAACTTATAAAGTTGAAAAATAACGCGATGAAAAAAAACGCGCGAAATCGGAGTTCAAACGTTTCACAAATTTTCCCCAGACTTTTCTGGGGAATACGGGTTTCAACAGCTGGGCTGCGCTCATAGCACGTGCGCAGTGAAATAGGTTCGCGCAACTAGAAAGCGGGCTGTCTGGTGAATACTCGGTGAAGGCTTTGGTGTGAGCTATTTTCATAATGTTTTGTTGATATCTCACAGGCGCGAGCTTTTTATATGTTATGACAGTAAATAAACTGTTTATATAATTTCATTTGTCTATTTCACCACACGTTCTTTTTTTATTGACACCTGTGTGTCTGCCTGCTGACTGCTAATGACAATATTCAATACACAACTGCAATCACTGACCACATGCAATTTGAACTTAACACCAATCAGGCTATACACCATAAACAAAACGCATTGATTTATGGCCCGAGTTCGGTCTCTGTCACATTATGTAATTACACAGACAGGCAGGTGTGATACTTGAACACATGACATGTTATGATGTCTGTTGATTGCAAAATGTAATACACAAAAAATGAGCATGTATTTACAAAACCCAACATCTCTATACATACAGACACAATGAGCCGTGAAGACGGCATCTGCTAATGAACGTTAGACTTGAGTGCACACCCACCCGCTTTGACTGGGTTCGGTATCCCGGCTGCTTCGTTTCGAGGGAGGTAAACCCAAGTACAAAATATTGCACTTTTGATTTGCGATTATACGCTTATAATTTTGTTTATTTGTTTTTTCATAATCAGCAATGCATATTATATGTCATGAAGAAGTGATAATTGTGTTTTAATTATGTTTGATTTTTTGGTTGCATGTGACCTTTAACATTTAACATAACCCAATAATATTTACATCACATCAAACTTCACATTTTACTTTTCAAAATATGAATCCTATATATAGATTATAATCAAATAACAAACCTAACAATCATAAATAAAATTCTAATGCCAAATACATCAGCTCATACACTGAGCTAAATATTCTGCAAATATAAGTAACACCTGTCAAGAGCTTGACATCTTGACAGGTCATGTGACTATTATCTACCGCACTGTAGCAATTCCTGTTAGTCATTTCTCATGAATAATTTGTTTAATAGTTAATTGTGATAAATATTGTATAGTACACATTTAAAGCACAGTGCCTTTATTTTTGCACATTGAGCATGAAAAGAATCGAGCCTTGTTATTATTCTTGCATAAGGAAGAAATGAAGATTATCTCTTGCGTCTATCAAACAATATCCTGTCAACACGTTCCATACAGTACCAGTAAATGTTCCTTTGACAGTTAACAATTTTAGGTGTCATTGTGTTACAAAACTTCTGACTTTGGACATGTTGAAATATGTTTCCTGAAAAGTTGGTGATTTCCTAACATAGAATAAACACTGACATAAAAACCAAATTAAAAACATGCATAAGATTAAAGGATGGTAAGTTTTACGGTGATAAGAGTCTCATGACACTGTGTCTTAAGGCACAATAATAAAAATGCTATTATTGCACTTGTTCATTTATATTGTTCATACGATACCAGCTATTAACGTGCATAAGCAACAATAAAATGTTCATTGTCAGTGTATTCGCAGTTCTAGATACAATTTTATACCCCAGCTGGATTCACGTAATAACCTAATTGGCACATTTGACTGAAAACACAAAATTACTGAATTACGCGTAACAGGAATGTAACGTAAACTTTTGTTTACTTTCAAAAGGTAGTTCAAAAGTATCATTGTAGTCCAGCAGTCGGGTTAAAATATATTAAGAATAAAGGAAAATATGTACGAAAAAAACCCGTTTGAATAAATTAAAACGACCTGAACACACAAGACGGTTTATTCTGAGGTAATAATTCACCTGTGTGTCACAGTGAAATGATTTCAATGACAACAGGTGCGAGCAAAAACGTTTCTTACAAGATTGTATTGAACATAGACCCAGGGCTCGTTTACCGGAGGTATATAACATGGCTGTAATGATTAATAGAAAGTGTTTAGTTTTCTGTAATTATGACTGATGTCTCAGACTCACCAACACAGCTTGTGAGGCCTGCTCTAGTTCATGCATCACATGGTCCGCCATCACTGTTTCTTCGTTACTCCGCCATTCAACCGGAAGTGTGAAGTATTAAACGAACTCCATACAGCGTGTTGCCACCACGATTAAGTGGTAAGATATGGATGCGCTTTCTCTTGGCTAAATCCCGAGCTTCTGTTAAAAGTCGATGGATATTTTGAGTTTGGTTTTACAACACAATTATATTCCCAAATATCATAAAATATACACGAAGAAATAATTCAGTAGAGAAAACATCCACAAGGGTAACTAACGCCTATCCCAACATCGTTATGAGTTTAGTGATAATGAGAGCTGATGATATTTTTTTTTAATAAATATCGTTTTAGTGTCCTCATCGGTGTAAACAGAGAGAGACCATATGATATGATATGATATGACATGATCATCTATTATATGGTCTCTGGTGTAAATCTAGAGGACAAATCAAATTACAAGCTCTTATTCACATAAAATTTAATATCAACCCTGATAATAGTTGATGCCACCATATACCATACGTTTAATCTGTCTCTGGGTAAACTATGATATTATAGTTAATACTTTATCTACAGGTTGATCACTGGATTGGCTGGATTGGCTGGTCCAGACTCGATTATTTAGAGACCGCCACCATATAGCTAGAATATTACTGTGTGCGGTGTAAAACTAAACCCATTCACTCACTTTATCTACAGACACGTTAAACGTATCTTACAGTACTAATATTATCGAAAAGAAAATGAATAGATAAAATTACCCGACATTGCAGTATTTTTATGACACCAGCTGTTATTACCGACAGCACAATTGTGTCGACAGTGCAAGCATATTCCAGAGGCCGTATTTAAAACAGACATACTCAGTGAGACATGTATTTTATATCCTAAACACAAACCTGGGCGCGTCCCTCGTCCCAATACATTGAAGTCAATGACTTTTACGCCGCTTTTAGCAATATTCCAGCAATATCACGGCAGGGGACTCCATCACGTGTTTTATGTTTTAAATAAGATTAATATAGATATGTTGTATTCAGGTCTCAAGTAAATCGCAGGTGCATTCTTTTTATTTTGATTTACTCAGTATTTTCCATTGCTGTTGAGAAGTCGAGACATCAATATACGATTAGCTCTTTCTTCATCGCAGGCATCGTCAGTTTACCTCAACAGCGGAACTGATAACAACACTGCAGTAAACATAAATTTCGTACTACTTTAAACAAGCCAAACATTGTATTCTTTAAGATTAACAGGCAAGATATATTAACGATACAGCAAGAAATATGTCTAGGAGTATGGGGAATCAGAGAGAATGTTACTGTAGTTGGTAGTACGACAATGGTGTATTCTTTTTGTTGATCTCCTTTGCGTATGGACTGACTGGCTGACTCACTCACTCGTATGGACTGACTCACTCACTCACTCGTATGGACCGACCGACTGACTGACTGACTACCTCCTATACGACCTATATGAAAGTATACAGAATTTGAATATATATGTGACATAATTAAATAAGTAAAGACAATGTTGCCTTGATAAATCATTTTTGTAAACTTTTGAGTGCTGTTGTTGGAATGTCTTCAGCGATTACAGGGACACCCCCGCGATCTGAAACTTCGAAAATGGCAAGTGTGCCTATAGTGCACTATGGCGAGGTATGTCCATGGCAGTATTCCACAGAAGGGGAGTAACCGACCAGCCATTACACGCAATACCTGGGATCATCGGGTGCAATGTGTGAAAGCCTGTCTCAGAGTCTACCGCCGAAATACAGCTGAAGTATTGATACGTGATACGTCATTATCGTCAACAATTATTTAAGCAGCTATTTTTGTAAATGCTTAAAATATTAATCTAGTACACATTCCATTTTATCAGAGAAATTATTATATACTACCTTCTAACAACTACTACCAATTTATGGATGAAACAAGTAATTAAGACCAAGCCCGTGACCAAGATCAATCGATCTGAAACTGAGGGAAGCGCCTGTACAATATTCACCTTCTCAACCGTGAAATAAATCTACGCGGTCGCACCAGATCATCAATGGTCTAAATGCCAGTGATAGGGACAGAAACTGAAACCAAATATACTTATTATGTATCTCCGTCACATGAGGCGTATCCCGTCACTGTTTAATGTCACTAAAAGTTTACTAGAGACAATATACATTGTTACATATTTGGGATTACACTTTCACAGTAAAGTTCAGATTCTGGTACTTTTGTTAGGTTAAGTCCCATGTGGGATTCGAACCCACACTCTCAGAGTCAGGCACCTAATCGCCATCTAACCCTCTCAGCCGCCAGGGCTTCCACAAAAATAGAAGTCAGTCTGCTGGTAGTCTAGATCACGGACTTTGTGTACCCCCCAACAAATGTTAATTAGCAAGGCTCGTACGGCCGAAAGCCAATTACGCAGATCGATGTTCATGCTGTTGATCACTGGATTGTCTGGTCCAGACTCGATCATTTACAGACCGCCACCACATAGCTGGAATATTGTTGTCTACGGCGTAAAACTAAACTCACTCACTACGGCCGAAAGCTATGAATACTCAATGCCATTTAGAAAGTGGTCAAATGTAACATGTTATATTTGGGATTACACTTTCATAGTAAAGTAATAATATACATTGTTGTTGGTTGTTTAAGGCTTGTCGATTTCGGACCAGACAATACAGTGAGTGATATTATGCACAATGTTCCACACCCAAGGGACACGGTCATACCCATTTAGCCACGTCACCAGCCGCATCTCCCGATCTATCTTGTTGTCTCTTGGGTGTCTGGAGACATGCTATAACGCGGTTCCCCACAGTAAACGCTTGTAGTCAATGAATGAATGAATGAATGAGGTGAGGTGAAATGGGGTTTACGTCGTGTTTAGGAATATTTTGCTCATGACGACGTGCATGCGTGTGTATGTGTGGCTGCTTGTACTAAATTGTAGCCCAGACTTCAGCTGGTTTCATAGTGCGCACACAGCTCACAAAGATAAGCAGGTATTCAAAGATAAGATTGGGTATTCAGTTAAGCATGAATACCCTACTCAGACACATTATACCGACTCCGAGCCGACAATTCCTTGTTGTACCCATTAATGCCGAGCGCCAGAAAGAGACCAACAAGTACCATATTTGAACGTCTTTTGGTATGACGCGGCCGGGGATCGAACCCGCGACCTTCCGCTGTCCGGGCGGACGCTTTAACTACTACACCACGGAGGCGGTCGAATGAATGAATGAATGAATAGTACATGTGCAATCCTTAACTGAATAAACGTACAACAGGAACCGATATATGGCGAAGTATGTGTGTATCTTGCACAGAAATGTCGCTGAATATTATATCCGATTTTTAATATGCGTTGCCAGAGTTACGAAAAAACATCCCAAAACCATCAAACCATTTTTTTCAATGCTCGGTCTTTCTGACGTATGTTAGGCTGATGAGAAATACGAAAATAATCAACATCACCATAATCTAATCATCAGCTATTCACGCCAGCCTTCATTGAGCTGCAAAGAAAGACATTAAATTCTACAGTTTTTGTGAACCCTTTTGGGAGAATTTCTATTCCAATTTATCTGCAGCTAATATCGGCCGTTCTTCCTGTCCTCTGTTTTGACAAATGCAGCATGCAAATATTCCAGCTCACACTCATAACCAATCTGGTTCCTTGTAAATACCAATTATATCATGGTAATACATTCTCAGCCCCTCTTCCGTTTTATGTGTCTGTGAATATAACAGGAAATGGACATTGCCAGCACCGCAATGTCATCTGCCATTAGGAAGGATAGACGCAAACACTTCTTTGATGACTTCGCCTGAGACTTTAAAAGGAAACAAAAATTCACATCTATATATAGAAGATATATTGAGTTGCCGCAAGAATTAATTGAATTACAAGAGTCAAGACTGGGATAAAAACGGTGAATCCACCAATATGCCACACTTTGACGAAATCAGACACCACAGATTCCAGAACATAACAGCGGTGGAACAATGTGTCAGTTATACAGAGTCATTTATGAAAGGTTGTGCGTTTGTTGAGTGGTGCCAGTAAATGGTGTGTGCGTGGAGGTTTCTGTAATGCTGTAGAAACCATAAATGTTCAAGTGGGTGAGAGGGTAGACTATGACGCCGATTTTAATGTTATTCCAGTTAATACACTATATACATGTATAGTGATGATTTAGCATTATTCCAAGACGCAGGCTAATTTGCATCACATCACATGACAAGACTTTTGTCAGAGAGAGAGAGAGAGAGAGAGAGAGAGAGAGAGAGAGAGAGAGAGAGAGAGAGAGAGAGAGAGAGAGAGAGAGAGAGAGAGAGAGAGAGAGAGAGAGAATGAGAATGAGGCGCAGACAGACAGAACACAGAGATCAGAGATGGCTGATTTGCTGTCGGACTTGGTGACGGAGGTCTGGTGTTCTTTCACACGGGTGTTGATGGGCCGCCTATGTAACTCTTTCCACAACCACAGTTTATGATGCACTCGTCCACCTAACCCAATCAGATGTATAAACATCTCCTCCTTGTTTAAACTACACCTTTTTATTTGTACATCTCTGGCTTCCATGCCTTCCCCCATTGTCTACCCAATGACTTCATCACCTGTAAGCCCACCCTGTTGTGTTAATGACCTTGTTATCTTGTTTTCTTTGTTACACTCAGTATATATACTTTGCCACCTATGTATGTTACATTCCTGCTTGACAACGGTACAAGAATCTGTATCGAAACGTCGCACTCTCGTAATAAAGAAGTTGTTATCCATAAAGTTTATCAATTTTGTACCGTATGGTTTCTTGGACATGTGCTGCAGCTTGTCTGACCTGTTTCTCTGACTTAGTTGCGATCATTCAGAATGCGCAGTAACGCATATGCTGTGATACAGCTGACTGACGGTCAAACAACAATAGCTCACTTGATACTGAATCACAACCAGTTGCACTTTTGTCAACGAATGCCACCCCTTAGTGATATTTTACTATGTTTATTATTGCATCAAAATGGTATCCATAAAGACCCGGATGTCAAAATAGTTAATTTGATACACCATGCTCCCACGCTCGCCCACTCGGACTCTCGAATACTTACCACTGGAACATCTTGAATATATTGTTCTTTATTTCGGATTTCGCCATCTAGACATTAAAGCTTTCTTGCCGCTTGATAAGTTAACGCCTTCTGTTTTCATTGTATTGCGGCTCATGACATTGTAGTGTCATTTCAAGGGTATGTCATTAGTTGGCAGATCATGACGTCACATACAACTGACTAGGCTGATCATTCGTCACCCACATTTCCTTCAATAAAGACTGGGTTGTAAGGAATAACCTGCCCACCACGCGGAAATAAGGATTGTATAGAAAATCTCACCAGCGTGCCTTGTATTCTGCAATGACATTGAAGAATTATTCATTCAGATTTGTTAAAATGAGATATCCTTTTTCATACTGAAACCTCATTTAAGTTAAGCTGTTTTACACAAAATCCGTGCGTTAGAATACATCGATAGACTACATATCGATCCACAGAAAATGACTGCCAATAACCCATAAGCGCCCAATACCGTATTTTCTGGACCAGACGGGATGTCTGCAACACAAGCCGGGGCGACGACTCGCCTGAAATTTATAGAAAAGAGGGATATAGTTCTATGGATATGTACAACTTCTGTCTTACGATTTATGCTTTCTTTGGATAAACAGCTTCTTGCTAATATTGAATTAGGATGTTGTATATCCATAGACTGAGTGAGTGAGTTTAATTTTACGCCGCTTTTAGCAATATTCCAGCAATATCACGGCGGGGGACACCAGACATGGGCTTCTCACATTGTACCCATGTGGGGAATCGAACCCGGGTCTTCGGCGTGACGGGCGAACGCTTTAACCACTAGGCTACCCCACCGCCCCGTATATCCATAGAACTATCCCCCTTGCTCATCAACTTCTAAATGCCACTCAAAGGAAGTGAGACGCAGAGACGTCTAATAGAAGACTTACGGTAATTTCATATTTGATTGAAACTAAAACTTTTGCATACAAATCATAATGTTAAGATAGCTCTTAAGGGAATGTTCAGTAATTTCCTCATTAAATCAAATGATAACAACGTAAAATTTGACATTAAAATAAGTGTTTTCTTAAACTTTATTCATGACAACATTTTGTTTACCAGTCTTTTGTGATCGATATTCCTTGCCATCTCCGTGAACCACCAATGTTAGGATTTGGCAAGAGGGATTTGAGAGACAGAAAACATGGCTCCCACTCAGCCAAAGACAACGAATTTCACAAACAAAAGCCCCCACATCATTGCACAATCACGGCCACTTTGTCGCACCAACTTAACAAAGATGAAGTCTTTTTCAGAACATCGCAATTAAGCAAAACATACACGTATTACACTGTCAAGATGACACATGTGACTTATCGTTAACATGCTGGATTCGACTATCGTGAATTCCTGAAATTGACTCACCCTTGTCATAGAATGTCGGGTCGTCTGCAGACTCAAACACACAACCCAGACACACTGAACAATACAATACACGAATAGTGTTCATTCTAGGCGAAAAACACGACTGACTGGGTGAATAAGTGAGTGAGTGAGTTTGGCTAATTCAGTACTCTAGTTATAACACGAGTGAGTGATTCTGGCTAATGCAGTATTCTACATGTAGTTACACCACGTCATCACCTTTCAAGATAGCCCAAATTGAGGCAAAGACTTCGTCGTTAACATGATGTTAACACAAACATGGTTCTTATAAACCTACTGACATTGGCCCGGGATTTGAATCTTTATACGAGTAAAATCTCCAGCCCATATACAATTTAAAATTTACATAATATAACCTCGTATTTGTCAAAAACCCATAAGATCGTAAACCGCTTAATAGAGAATATCATGGGTGTTGAAAGGCTGACAGGTTATCAGTGACGATGTGTAGTCCTTTTAGTGAATCTGTGTATGAAATTGAAACAAATATTGACAGGAAATATGAACGATTCTACGTAATCAAGCTGTTTACGTGGAAATCGACGTCAACAGCTCCTTGAATACATCACTTGAGTTGGTTGTAAAATGATACTGCGGAGGTCAGGTTGTCATCACACGTCACAACGAGGCCGGGTCAAAGAGGTCAGAAGCTGTTCTCGCTCGCGGAGTTGTGTTACGTCACAATACAGGGTGGTACGAAGTCATAACACAATACTTATCTTGTCATTTTAGTTGTATTTTAGTAGATTTTAAATCTACTTAAAGCTGTATTTTAATATTACGTGTTCAGGAACGAGTCTAAGTTAGGTGTCAAGATTTACCGGTTCCCTTTGGTTGTGACCGACGTATACCTCACCCCCCTGTCCGTAATGGTCATGGCCCACGCTATAAACAAACTGGGAAACCTCGAGTCGTTAACAGTTCCGAACACACCCATGGCATGTACAGGGTAAACATTCAACGTGGGTAAGTTGACAGCAGTTTATGTCGTATATCAGTCATAACACAAGAATAAGATAAACCACGAGCTGTGAGAGTAAATGTACCTTATAGACTAACCGTAAGATTGTTGATGCCATTATGTTTTAATACTGAAACTGTTGTATTTATAAAAGATGTCATTGGCTTATGTATACCTGCCATTTGTGCCAGTTGTTTGCACGTTGTACAGGACCCTCCGGTCGCGTGCTTGAGTGAGTGAGTGAGTGAGTAGTGAGTGAGTGAGTGAGTGAGTGAGTGAGTGAGTGAAATACTTTCAGTCTGGCTCAATGTAACTGTGGTTTTCAAACAAAGTAAAAACATAATAATTGTATTTTATTTATTTGTCTTTTCTGGTCAGATGTTTATATATGTCATTCCGAGGCCATCCATTTTTGTTGTGGATGATCAACTTTTAAGATCATGTAAGGATTCAATTATGTTAGAAAATACAAATATCCTCCACTTAACCCTGAAATATATAACTTTTCTTCTAAAATACTTGTTTTCACGACGATCCCACTGAACACTGACTCTCTCCCTCACCCGTTAAAGTCCCCAGACCATGAATTTAAATAAATGGCCTGCTTGTCGCCGTACTCAGCAGTATAACGGTTGGGTAATGTGAGTGAGTGAGGATGGTTTTACGCCACTTTTAGCAATATACCAGCAACATCACAGCGGGGGACGCCAGAAATGGGCTTCAAACATTGTACCCATGTGGGGAATCGAACCCGGGCCTTCGGCATGACGACCGAACGCTTTAACCACTAGGCTACCCCACCGCCCCTGCTGGGTCCTATGAATGTTAGACATTCACAGTGAATATTATGACTGACACCGTGAAAATCGTCTATGCGATTGGGACACGGTGACATTGATCAACCAAGTCGGCGAACCTGACAAACGGATACTGATGGTGGCCTTTGACGACACAGCATGGGTTTCAGAACGCTAATTGTAACCGGATCTTTACGAGGGTATATGTCTGGTCGTTTTAATAACAATTTCTCGGAAATTTGTCTCCAGTACCCCAGACTTGAGCAGTATCCGGTTCGACTATTTATGGGCGCCTAGATATAACTAAAACATTGCTTAAACAAAACTCTCGGCCAGCGCAAGTATCGAAAACGAGTATAAAATATGTTTAATGTTGAGATATCATTATGTCTTGTTAATCCCTTTACTAAAGTGAAGCAATTGCTTTCTTTCAGGAATGTGGACCCAATGTTTAACCGTTTTTATGTCTGCCTCCATTGTCATGGCGTCATCAGACACCAAACACGTCTGCCAGTACCCCGGATGTGAATGTAAAACACTCTCCGACTCAACTTACACATTGACGTGTCACAAGGGCAGAGTCTTGACACTGAGTGTCGACCCACACGCGACCAACACCGTCATCAGGGTTCAAATGCAGTGTAGCGGAGAGCCCACTGACACGGAACTACTTTTTAGTCATAATATCGACCTGCAGCACGTGCAGGAGATGAGCATACAGGATTGTGTGACGTCATGGCCGTTTGTGGAGGGCACCCGTCTCTCTCAGCTCACAACGTTGTACTTGAACAATGTCACGATAGCGAACATGACACTGAATGACCTCGTGACCTGGTACCCCGTCCTCGACACCCTGCGTGTGACCCACTCAGATCCCGCCATTGCATCATACGAATGTACAGTCCGTCTGGAACCTCGACGAAATGCTTCATTGGACGATACTGTGAACGTAACTGATTCTGATTGCAATGAAATTTCAACGACACCAAATCAATTAACAATACTCGATTTAAGACATAATAATTTAACCAGTGTTCCACCTTTCGTCGGCAACTCGCCGAATTTATCCGTGTTATATCTACAGTTCAACAAACTAGACGGCCTTCCTTCTGAAATATTTCATTCTTCATCAAACTTGACCATACTGGATCTTTCGGGGAACCGTTTGAGAACACTTCCGGTTAATGTGTTATTAGAGCAAGTACACCTGAGACATTTGAACCTGTCGCACAACCATCTATTCAGCCTCCCGTTTCGAATGCTGGCAAACACACGCAATCTGACTCATCTGGACCTCTCCTTCAACCGTCTCAAATACATCCCTTCCGCCATGTTCCGCAACCTTCGTCATCTCACATCACTGAACTTGAACCTCGAACTCAATCTCCTTCCTGATGCGCAGCCACTTCGCCGATCTCACCAGTCTCGCGCAGCTGTATCTAGGTAACAACGAGTTAAGAAGGATTCCTGACATCACTTCCTGTCACGAACTGCGTGTGGTGGACTTCCGGTATAACCTGCTAACCAGCACCTACAGCAACTCTTTCAAGGGCCTGAGTAAACTGGAAGGCATCGGTATGAAACATAACCGTCTCACAACACTGATAGTCCGTCACTTGTGTGTCTCTCCAATACTCGGTATTCTCGACCTTTCCTTTAATAATATCACCAGCATAAACGACAACCCAGACATAGGTTCCAAAGAGGTAAATAAGAGTTCGTTCTCGATGCTCAGCAAAGTTTCATTTCTCAACCTTCAGCATAATAAACTGTCGCACATCCACGGTGTTGGGTCGGTGTTCACAGGCCTTAAATATCTCTTCGTCGATAACAATATGATCTTCAGCCTCCGCATGTCCCAGAATGACCTACCAGCATCTGTTGAATGGTTCAGCGCCAGTTTCAACAGGATTGAAATAATCGAGCGCAATTTTTTTAAGTCATTACCCAACCTGACAGCCGTCAGCTTACAACATAACTACCCGCATCTGACTAATCTGCCTCTCCAGCTTGTACAGGTTGTGCCCAATAGGAGACCCAAGATGTACCTGTCAGGGAATCTGTTCATGTGTGACTGTAAAATGGCTTATCTGAAAACGTACTATAAAGAAAGAAACAGAGAGGTCTTCAGGACGTACTATCCAGTATTTGCGGATCTACAAGAAGTCAAATGTATAACCCTGAACAACGGGACTGTGAGGAAATTGATTGACGTCCGTGAAGACGAGTTCATGTGTCTGAATGGAGATATTGTATGTGAGCGGTATTGTGCATGCTGCTTGGGAGAAAACAGCAAAAGTTGCCCGTGCCTTCACAGGTGTCCCGAGCGTTGTCAGTGCTACGAGGGCGGATCTCCCTGGGGGGTGTATGACTACAAGGTCTTCTGTGACAACACCTCACTCACCACAGCTCCTCATGACGTTGCTCCAGTTACCACGTACCTTCATCTTGAAAACAACAACATCACTGTGGTGGAGAAAAATGACTTGTTCTATCTAAAGCAACTAAAGAAGCTATGTTTAAATAATAACAGTATATCAAGTCTTCAGCCTGGCTGTTTCAATGGTCTTGGTGAACTTACTGAATTGCACTTGCAGTTCAACCAGCTGCAGAGTCTATCGGCTGAGATGTGGACGGGGCTGGGGAACCTCACCCATCTATACCTTCAGAATAACCTCCTTCACACGTTAAGGTGGAACGTGTTCAGTAACCTCACACACCTGCAGTACCTGGACCTCAGTAAAAATCTCCTCACACGTGTAAGCGCTGACTACTTCCCGCCACACACAACCCTGTCTACCATTACAATTACCCAGAATCCACTGTCGTGTTCCTGTTCCCATATTGAAGAAACTCTCTCCTTTCTGGCGCTCTATGGCTACTGTGTATCGTCATTGGACGATCTGTGGTGCTTCTACGAGAACACATCAGATAACAGTGTCATGGCAAATTCTAATCCAAGATTATCGTACAATTATTCTCAAGATATGTTGTTGATAAAGGACTTTGACGTTGATAAATGTATCGAGAATGTGACTCATTTGAACGAAACATGGTATGACAACAAACGGTATGAAGAGGACAACCGATATAATATCACCTTAATAACTCTCTGTGTATTGGTGATGATTGTTGTAGTTGCTGCTGGCGTGACGTACTGGAAACGTCGAGAGTTGCAGGCGTTGCTTTACGTCAAGTTCGGTGTTCGCGTTCGACCCAAGAACGCCAAACTTGATGAAACGGGACGCACGTACGACGCGTTTGTATCGTACAGCAGCCATGATGAACGTTTGGTGGTCAAGGAGCTGGCTCCGAGGTTGGAGGAAGGAATGAGGGAGAACACAGACATCTTTACAAACTGTGTCTTCACTACCGGGACTTTCCTGTCGGAGATTGTATAGCAGACACTATCATAGAGAGCATTGAGGCCAGTAAACGTACCATCATGCTGCTCTCCGACAATTTCTTGGCAAGCGAGTGGTGTCGCTACGAGTTCCAAACCGCTCACCACCACGTGCTCAAAGAGCGTTCTCATCGACTCATCATTGTGTTGTTACACGACCTTGACGACAGCAAGCTAGATCCAGACTTGCGGGTGCATTTGAAGGCCGGCAACTTTTTGCGTTTCAATGACCCCTGGTTTTGGGAAAAGCTCTATTTCGCTTTACCAGACGTACCAGTGGAAACAGGCAAAAAGGGGAGACAATTCAAGGACGGCGATGCACCCAGGGATGGTGAGGTGAATCTGAACTTCCATTTTCCTGATGGTACTCCTTTATAGCAAGTTTAGTACACAAAGATATGAGGCAAAAGGATATTAATGCTCAGTACAAGTTTTATTACAAATATTATACTGTTGTTCATTGTTTTATGTCGTATATAATATGATTAACATTTGTACATTTGAATAAATTGTTATGATAAACTGCGGATGCGTTTTTGCGACCTTGAGAGCCTGTAGATGCTGTGTTCGATGTCAGGCTTGCGGTATCATGTCACACGCTGCGGACACATTCTATACCGGACAGTGAACGCCTGACCTTGTATGTCTCCGACACCAGTCACTAGTTGGCTCTATTGCCTCGCTTATACAACTACCCGTGAAGATCCGTGTTAGAATTGGTCTTCAGCAACCCATGCTTGTCGTAAGAGGCGACTAACGGGATCGGATGGTCAGACTAGCTGGCTTGGATGACATGTCATCGGTTCCCAATTGCGAAGATCGATGCTCATGCTGTTGATCACTGGAGTGTCTGGTCCAGACTCGATTATTTACAGACCGCCTTCATAATTATAGGTGGACTATTGCTGAGTGCGGCGTAAAACTAAACTCTCTCACTCACATTACATCTCCTGTGTTGTGTAGAACAATTCTTATGCTGTGATCACTGGATTGCCTGGTCATGACTTGATTATTTACAGACCGTCGCCATATTGCTGGAATATTGCTCACTGCGGCGTTAAACAAGAAAACAAAACAAACCTCATATACAGCACCATATAGTCACAACCTACTATGCCTTATAAATGTTTAGCCACTCTAGGTCGTTTAATAGGCATTCGACCATGAGTTGAGTAAATACTTGCACGTTCAGTTGAAAATTAATTTTAGAGCAATTATAAATCCGTGGACCGTTATACTGCCTCTTATTTGAAAACCAGTAGGGTTATTTCTTAATTATGTTTTAAATCCATCAAGCTGATGGTCTCCTCCTTAGTTTCCACTCCACATGGTGCTACTATTATAGTTTCCAGATTTTGTGTCACATTACGATAACTGTACACACACACACACACACACACACACACACACACACACACACACGTGTCATTACGTTTGCGTTTTCTTAGTGTACCCACAACAATGATTATTATCGATGCAAATCAGGTATCGAACCCACGGCTACTTCTCTGCGTATTACGTTCCACCTATTGGCCCCTAGATGATCAAGCTATTGATCACTGGATCGTCTGGTCAAAACTCGATTTTTACAGACCGTCGCCATACAGAATATTACACAGTGTGGCGTTAACCAAACAAACAACCAACCAACCAACTAACTAACCAACCAACCAACCAGGCAACCTCTATAACTATCGTACGCCGTAAGAACAGAATTTACTCTATTTCGATGCATTTAGGCTAACTCACAAATTTTTTTTCGCTAATTTGAAATATATTCTGTATACTGAAGTGCCCAACATCAGATCGTTCCCAGAAATATTAATTAGTATCTGTATCAAAGAGCACCCCATGTTTGCTACAGATGAGTTCGGCTGACATCCAAACACTTTCATCGTCTACAGACTCATGTTACACAATTAACTGCTGTCTGTAACTCCAGATCAATGTGGGTTCTCATTACTTAGTCTAGACATGAACTCAAAACATCACGGCGTAGACGTTGCTTCCGGTACTGACGTTACACTTCATGATGCAAATTGGACAGATCCACGGGGAAGGTGACAACTGCAACATCGTCTGTAGACTATCTGTTACGACATCTACACCATATGCAACACACGTTAACAACACCTGATCGCAATGTCCTCACACTGACAGCGGAATGTGAGATCTAGTTGTGAGTGTGCTGTCTAGAAAGGGAATCGCGAGAAAGTATCAATGCCATTCACTATAATTTATTTATGTAATGTATTGAGGAATGTATTCTTTTACAGCTGATTTTTTTTCATATATAATAGTGATCTTTGGGGGCCTAAGGGGTTTTACCTTATTCTCATGATAACTTTGGAAGACGTTTCTTTAACTGAAATGCGTTTTAAAATGCGAAAACCACTGTTCTTTTGAAATATATTCTTTTCGAGGACTTTCAATATTTTTACTTGTTTCCCAAACTGGGATTCCCTTGCCTAGTATATTCTGAAGCATGTTCCATATGTACTTCGTTTTTACAGGATCATAATCTATGAACATTTATGCAACATTACCTAAAGATTTTCACTGTTTCGCAGGCGGGTCACATAGCAACCTTACATTCTGTAGGTAAATGTGATTTCTCTTCATGTGGTGCAAACTCTAGTTCTTTTCTTTCACAATCTGCAGATAAAGAACATTTCCCTGTTGCTTTATTCGCAATTTGACTAAATTGCGAATGATGGTTTGAGGGGACATTCTTTCTCGAACATTTCATAAACATACTTCAGGTCATTCCACACAATTGTTAAATTTAGGATGCCATCTATGTTTTGAAGATGAGTGGGTAAGCTACATTTCATTTCTAAGGGGAAACTGTCAGAATCATGGCGCCCACAACCTTTATATAGATAATATGTTTTAAAATATCGAACTGGGAGATAACGTAGGCATTTACACTGCAACCTTTTCCCCTGCACTTGTTTTCACTCGACCATTTACAATACCAGGCTGAATGTGTAACACTTGTCCAGATTTGTTGACGACACTGTCCACATTGGTTGACGACACTGTCCACATTGGTTGGCGACACTTTCCGCATTGGTTGACGACCCTGTCCACATTGGTTGACGACACTGTCCATATTGGTTGACGACACTGTCCAAATTGGTTGACGACACTGTCCAAATTGGTTGACGACACTGTTGCGTGATCGACGGTCACCAAAAGGTACATTGGACCTCCTTTTGATCATTTTTTCCTTCTTCGAACATTCAAATCACCACAGATAAGAAAATGGTTATCTTGAAGGAAGGGAGTTGATCTAACAGGAACTGCTCTTGATTTTCAAGGCTACAGTCTGGAAAACAAACCCGGCTTGTCGACCTCTATATTTATGTACTGCATTGAGTTATACATTCTTTGGTAACTGATACGTTCTTTGTGTTTACAAAGGGATGTGTGGAGTCCCCAGGGGTTTTATCTTCTTCTCATCATAACGTTGGGCACAGGTGGCACATCTGTCTAAGGCGCAACACTTTGCTGTGTAGAGTTGCATCCTTTGGGAGACATCGTCTTCTCCAAGATTATGTTTCTAGGTTAATCCGTGCCATACCTGTGTTCGTGGGTCTCACTCACTCACTCAACCCCCACCCACTCACTCACTCACTCACCCACCCACTCACTCACTCACTCACTCACTCACTCACTCACTCCACTCACGTACGCACGCACGCACGCACTCACTCACTCACTCTGAAACTACACATGAAGCTGTATTTAATCAGGATACTGAACATACCGTTAAGAGTAAGACCATATCTCGAAAGTTTCATAACATATGCTCCCGTAATTTAATTTTTTTTTTAATATAAGCGAACAATGAGGGAATGACGGATAATTTGAGAAGGGTATCCTCTGTTAAAACCTCAGGGATGAAAGTGCACCCACCCCCACCCATCCCCACTCCCCATGCTAAATGTCAAGTTCGTCATTGACAAGGGAACTGTCGTGTCTCTCCTGGAGACAGACGGTCAGGTGACGAGTCATTGCCAGCCACGCTGAGAGGTTCTCGTCTGATTGTGGGAGTTAAAACAGTTATATATTTTCACGTGTATTTTGTTACGGACGTTCCAATTATGAAACACTCTGGTGTTTGTGGTATATAACCGCTGTGGGGTTCTGGGAAGCTAAAAGTCTCCAGCGGCCATTGTTCAAGCTGAATCGTACCGGTGAGAGATGTTGTAACTGAGTGAAATATGGGCGGGCTGTATATGACCACGTCCTACTTATGTGTAACCCTCCCCAGTCACGCATGACCGAACTCTGGTTTATCTGAAAGGCCACAGTGATGAACTGATGTCCATTTACAGTGCTGAATATCCTTACGCCACCACACCAGGTACGAACTCATCATAAAGCACAAAACAGCCAAGGGGAGATAACTAGAGATAGCAAGATTACGTTTGTTATTTGTTTTCTTCGAGACTTTTCTTGATTAATGATAATCTGTTGTAATTGTATTAACCAATCATATGTATTCATACAACAATATTAGAGCATCAAGCTGGTTGGTTAGCACAGTGGTTAAAGCGTTCGCTCGTCACGCCGAAGGCCAACATTCGATTCGCAAATCGGTACTTCGTTTCAAGCTAGTGGTATTACAAGAATGTTATAATAGCGGCGTAAAACCATATTCACTCCTCACAATACTAATTAATCACAAAGAAGTGGCTTATTCCTTTCACAATGTTCAGTTCTTAAAAGGGACGTATAACCACACTCATTCACCTTACGAGGAATATGTTTTGCGGGATTAAAACTACAAGTAGATGATTGCGTAATAGTGTTTAATATCGCGTTCAGATGACTGCACTTACACAGAGACTACTAACTATCAGTAAAGGATGTTAGAGTGAGTGAGTATGGTTTTACGCCGCTTTTAGCAATACTCCAGCAACATCAGGGCGGGGGACACCAGAAATGGGCTTCACACATTGTACCCATGTGGAAAGGATGTTAGAAGCTTGGTGACACTGATGCCCCCAGTCATGCTTTAACTCATCATCTCCGGATGAAACATACGTTATGCCCCCCAACAGGATAGGGTGTACTGTAGTCATAGATCGCAGTTAGGAGTGACGTGCTCCTACTGGCTCCTGTCAGACGTCATGTAGCATCCCTGATGATGAATGAGAGATGGGCAATTGCGACATATTTAACATTGTGTCATATAGATAACACTGAGTATATGGATAACAGTGAGTAGTTAGGGTATGTCTTTACGGGTACTCGAGTACTCGAGGACGAGTCTGTTTGTTTTGAGGGGAGGTAATCGACAGCAGCGTCCAGAAAGAAGTACTTCAAAATAGTGAGATAAAATATGTTAACTATCAAATCTAATCTTAGTTGCCTTTTTGACAATCTGGCGCTCATAGATAAAGGGAATATACTCGAAGTTTTGTCGGCAGTATTAACAATTTTGAAAAGTTTGTTTTTGTTGCGATCAGACAGGCCCCATACCAACACAGAAAATTGTAGGTCAACACACT